CTATGATATAGTTTCTTTTATATAATAAAAACATATAAAGAAATAAATAAAATTCTAAAGTGAAATATATATATATATTCAATAAAAAATAATGATATTATATAGATAATTCTCTAAAATAGATTCTCATTTCGATATTTTTTCTATAAGAGATCTGTACTAATCCTCTCTTTTTCTCTATTATTTATTATCTCTTCTCTCTTCAAGATCATTTTTCTTATCATTATCCAATTTATATATTTTCCAAATTAATTCTTCAAAAAAATATCCATTCCATAAAAAATCTTTACTAGCAGTTCTTTAAAAATTATATCGAATTTTAAAATAAGTAAATATAATCCAGCCACAAAATCATATAAATATTATATTTATTCCATTATCCATATACTTCAAGAAATTTCAATTATTATATAATCATAAATCCATATTCTCTTTTATAACGATCTCGAGAAAACCATAGAAAACCTCGTCGACCCGAAAAATATAATCTAAAAACAATAATTTTCTCGAGAAATATACAAAAAATTACCAGAAAATAACAATATAGAAAACTAATAATATTATTTATTCTTCCCTTCCTTTTTCATGACCTCCACGTCCTATATACTTCGAAAACCGGTATACCCCAATCAATTCGAAATATTACCCCATCTAAGATATCGAGTTATATAACAATACGATATATATTTCTCTCTCTATATATCTATATCTTAAAAATCTCCGCAACAATCTATACCACGAAAATTTATAAATAAAAATATATTCGAAATTATCGAAATATTAAATTCAATATTATATTCAATATTACAATATATATTATATATATCGACGATACCGATTATCTGGTCGAATAATTAATGCCAAAATAACGTAATCAAAAATACGAATTCCTAATTTTCCCAAATTTCCTTTTATTATAATTATTACAAAATTCGAAATTTGCAAGATTTCAAAATTTCATATTATATAATCCATATAATATGAAATCTTAAACCCAAAAAATAATTTCTCTATTTCGTACGAAAAATCACATATAAATTGGATACATATGCTTATGAATTTACCGACAATACCAAAATTCCTATATTTTCGTGGTCTATTTCGACAGCCGTCTTATATAAATCCGAGACCAGTAGAAGCGCGTAGAGTTTGGTAGAGTAAATACATCTTAATGTATTGAAATCTTTTAGAAGCAAAGAAATTCTTCAATCGAAATTTCGATTGAGATTCTATATTCTATATCAAAATATACTATTAACTATTATTTAGAATTTTACGTCTCGAGCAGTAGACGAAGTTGGGATTCCCAAGAAGTTTGTGTCTGCGCCAACCTGCGTATTCAAATCGAGCATGTAACGACATTGCAACGCCTTTCTTCTTGAAAAGATTGGGACTAAAATATTGGGCTTGCAACCCCCCTTCTTGAGTTCCAGGCGATTCTTCAGCTTCGAAACGCGTTGGCCTCAAGTCGAATGCACTTCCATTATTCTTGTGAACATCGGCAATCAATTGCAATGGCGCCAGCAAAGCAAGCATGTAGGTTGTTTCGAAACAGCACAGCAGATATACAGGCTGAGTCGAGTCGCTGTGCGTTTTGTGATGTATATGGACGGAAACCAAGCGTCTGCTAGAATGCCTCGTTTGCTGCTGGTGACACACGCGTGACACGGCTGCTGAAGCAGGAATTCAGGTTAAAGGGCATGCAGGCAAGTCGATGTTGTGATGATGTTCGTCTTCGGCTGCTTTTTGGTACCGAGATGTCCGCTTGCGTAGCTATCGTCGATGTATTTCCCTGAGTTGCACGAAGATCTCACGTCAACCACTTCGCGCGGAAAATACCGAAAGCGCAACTGTTCCGATCCAATCAGCGGCGCAAGCGTGCTCGACCTTGCGTCCGCATGGTCGTGGACGCACGGATGTCAAGGGCGAAGGTCACTGTTATCAGAGGAAGCCATCAGGATGAAGCGCTTCAAGGCAAATGCTTTATGACGGGACATTTAAATTCACAGCACTTCCGAGCCGGACCACTGGGCCACCCATGTAAAATGCCCCAGTAAGGCATCTCGCGCTGGCGGGCTCCGCAGCACTGATTAGGAGGCTTCAGGCTAACCTTTTCTGGAGAAGCACCGGCGGAAAGACTCGAGAGCACTGATTATCGAGGGATGAAGCGGTTGTAATGCATCACCGGGATAATAGCAGAAACTTTGCTGGCGAATCTGGCAAACAACAGCTGCCGAGGTCAGGACAGGCTCTCCTGAGCAGCAAGCACCGCTCGAGCTGCAGCAGGAAATTCGGGACCCTCCTGCCAATCGTGCAGATGATGGGATTCAGTCCGCAACAGCAGAGCTGCGGGTGTGTCTGTCCTGGTAGCACTTCCACGCATCTCTGCCCAAAGCTGCTGTGACCGAATGCTCGAACTTGCACGGCGAAGCAGTCGCAAACACGACACGAGCTGCCCGAGCTGAGTCGTCCAACTCAGACGTCGCAAAATGTGCCGCTAGGGCCACAGCTGAATGTGGACACAATAGGTATCCATACTCTTCTACCGAGCGACGGATGCACGCACACATTGCGTCATCATCAATTCGTGCAGAACCAAAAGCGTCCTGCATCCTTCGCAGCAAGGCGGCAGGGAGGGTCAGGCGGCCCGTCGCGTCCATCTCTGCCATCCAGGACTTGATGAGGGATGAATCTTCCCCCGTCAAATAAAACAGGACCCGCTCCATGTTGTATGGCACTTGGATGTTGATCGCATCAGACAAAGTCTTTTCCATATGCTCACTTCGATGAAATTCTCCTTTCGTGATGGTCCGATGAGTAATGTCATTTGCATTCACACCGGCCACGATCTGTCGAATAGGAAGACCCATCTGACGAGCCATAAACGCTGCAGCTGTATTGCCCAAGGCCCCAGCTGGCAAACAGAAGTCTAAGCACCTGCCCACCTCCGCCTGTAGTTGGTCGAGAGAACGGAAATAGCTCCAAAAGAAGTGGCACAGCTGTGCCAACGGGCGGCCTAAGTTGTAGGAATTGATGCCGCAGAGCCCATGCCGCTCTGCGAATGCTGCGTCGGAGCTTAGCTTCTTAATAGGTAGGTCCATGTCGTCTCCTCCGCCCTCGAAAGTCACAACCTTTGCTCCAACACCAGACACAGTTGTCATTTGTCGTCGCTGAAGCTCGGAGATCTGTCCATCTGGGAAAAAAACAATGATTTGCAAGTTCGCGCAAGCCGCATCCGAAACGGCCCTCATTGCAGCTGGACCAGTATCACCGGTCGTAGACACAAGGAACGTGCGCCTTTGGTTTCGACGTTTGGAGAAGTGCGCAAGCAAGCGCACAAGTAGCTGTTGCCCCAGATCTTTGAAGCAGAAGGTAGGGCCGTGAAACAGCTCAGCGATAAAGACCTGGGACTCGGCATCAGCTGCCCCACGACGCTGTAAGGCTACGACAGGCACGATCTCGGGGTGAGAGATGTTTGCGTAGCTCCCACGTACAACTTCCGCTAGCTCTGCCTCGGTCAACTCATCCCCCGCGAAGAGCTTCATAAGCTCCAAAGCTAGGGACGGGAAATCCAGCTTTCGCCATGTGCGCAACACATCGAGGGATATTTTTGGCAGCTCTTCCGGAACGTAGAGTCCTCCATCTGGTGCATAGCCACGTGACAGAGCCTGCTCGAAGGTTGCACCCCTCTCACCACGAGTGCTGCGGTAGCGCATCTGTTTCTTGACAAGGCTGGAAACTGCCCGCCAGCTTTCTGTGGTTCTGGGCAAGTGCCAAGACTTGTGGGGCTGGCTGATGAGACTGAGTCATGCTTTGTCGAAGCTTTGGGTCTTGTGGTAGATCGTGAATCACTTAGTGCTGCGTAGCTTCCCTGGTATGATCCAAGATTCCGCAAGTCCGTGTCAGCAGGTTGCTGTGGCGAGGTTGACTTGCAAGGCCCGACAATGCCATCTGCCACGAACTCTTTTCTTCACTGACAGGTGTTCTAAAAGAAGCCACCTCCGGTTGCCGGAGGCGCGGCTCGGGACTCACTAGGGGGTTCTGTACGTGGTGGGCCTTGAGAAGGGCTAGGAGCTGCTGATGCCGCGACGGCTTGTGGCGCATTTCGCGCAGCTGCCTTGGCGACAGGTGGCCCTTGAGGTGGAGAAAGCCTGACAAGCTTTCAACTGTTCTGGATCCAGTCATTCCTCGTGTTGGCATGTTCTCGTGCTGTTCTTTTGTGCACCCATTTTGCCGGGAGGCGGCAGGTCTTGGCCCAGCAGCTCGACACCGTGAGCAACAACTGCATAATGCTGTCCAGCCTGTCTTCGTCTGGTCCCAAACGATGCGACCGCGCGGCTGTGACATCAAAGCCAGGCCTCCATGAACACATAGAACAGTCGTCCGCAACAAGGGCACGCGAAAGTCGATCGGCCAGTGGCATCTTAGCGAAAGCACAAACCAACACGTCCGCGGATCCATATTTTCTGCACTTGGACGGCTGCCGGATGAGTCATTGCCCGTTAGTGCGGGTTGCTTGACAACCAAAGACCTGACAGCTTCGGCGATGTTGCGATGAGAAGAAACTACTGAGTCAATACCTTTATCATGTTCACCGGCTGCAAAGGCCGAGTCAGGGGCTCGTGATCGTATGTGCGCTCCTGAACGACTTAACTTATCTCAACCTGTTATCTCTGGACAAGCACAGCTTGCAGCCTGTTGTCTTCGTGCTGCTTCCCTGGCTGCACTTCGGCGATGGCAGCAGCAACTTCGACAAATGCCCTACCAGGCGAGCAGGCAGAAGCAGAGTACAATCCTGCCTGGCCAGACGTTCCCTTCGTTGGTCCTCTGCCTGTCACTTTCTGGCTCACAAGATGCCGGAGTGTGGGACTTGCATAACGAGGCAGCTCTGGGCATTGGGTTGTCAAGGAGTCTCCTGTCCTTGCAGGCCTGAAGCCCTTTAGTCAAGAGTCAAGAGATCATGATAGTGTTATCCACGCGCCTGGACCGTCAAATCTTCGGGCAATGTCGCCTGCGCCATCTGCCGATAGAAGTCTCCTTGCGTGGCCTCCAGTGCAGCCAGGGCCTGTCCAGTCTTAGGACGATCTCAGGGGGTTTTGTAGCCTCTGAACGACCACAGATTGTGACTGCATCTTGCGGAGCCGTGCGCCTCTTTACCATCTCTGATGGCCTTCAAGCGTCTTTTTTCCTCAAATACAAGGGCCCGCTCCCGTCTTGAAACAGGCCGACAAGCTTGAGATGTGTCAAGGCGACATACACTTGTTTGTTTTGTTTGTCGCACGCACGAGCGCTCAAGGTCCGTGTGCTAACGCCATGCCAACGCCTCTGATCTGATTGAGTCGCCCCGACGCTTTGAAGCCAGAGAAAGCTGATGGAGTAGCGTGGGGAAACGAACGTGCACATTCTCATGCACCAGCATGCATAAGCCATTCTTGGTGGAGGCTGTTGAACATTCGTGAACCAGTGGACGCACTGCTGACACAGGTCCGCGTTTGCTCTTCGCTTCTTCTCCGCTTCAGAAAGCTCCTTCGACAGCTCAGCTCAGGTGGAGAAACCGAACGGATGTCACACACAATTCGCATGCGCAGCCTGCATGGCTTCGATAATCACTTTGTATCTTTCCACCGCTTCCTCCTCTTCCGTCAGAACCTGGGGATACTTCCGTGATCTTCCGTGCAAGCTCAGAACAGAGCAGCTTGTGTCAGCAAATGCCGGCGACTGTCAGCAAACAAACAACCTCGACCAAAACATTAAGCAATATGTCCTCAGCAAAGCCAGGCTGTCTACCTACTGCTGAAGAAACAAGGCATATCTGCGCTGCCAGGCTAGATGCAGACCGAGCACTGAGGACTCTGTCGGAACTTCCTCGTCATCCTCACAGTGCCGCTTGCATTAAGTTGAGGTTTGAGGGGACATGGCTGTTCAGGGTCTGAAACTGCAGGTGGACGACAAGACGGCGGCACAAGAGGCAGCGGTCGAAGCGGGCAGCGGCAGTCGGTAGCAGCGGTTTAATTGAACACCTCATGGGAGCAAAGCAGTGCCTCTCGAAGCTGGGGTCCTCGTGATATCGGCTCAATGGGGCAAGCTGGATCTCAAGAACCTATGGCAGCCGCTGCTCTGAAGATTTCTGCAGGAGTGACACTGGGAAGCCACGCTTCAACTTTCGGATTCATCATGTCTTCCTTGAAGCCCGTTAGGCCGTTTTTGCCATTGACCTCTTGCATCATTGACGTTTTGGGTTGAACGCACAACATCCGTGGGCTGAAACTGCACGGCCGGCCTTGACGATGGAATCTCCAGGGCGAATCCTCTCTTTTGGATTCATTTCGTTCCACCTTGAGGGGAACAGCATCCGTAGAGAAGCTCGAAAAGAGTGCATGCTTGGTCCGAATTCTCGAATGATTAAGGCTGGTGCTGGCAAGCGAGTCCACCAGCAGCCAAGTTCTGAATCCTTGCAGATCCACGAAAGTCACATGGCAATGCAGTGAAGTTGTTTGTTGTTGCTCTGCACGTCTAAGGAACCGGCTCCAGAGAAGGCTGCTCAACCTGCATGCCTTCGGGCTACACGAATGCTCTGGTGAAATCACGACATCGTCGCAGCGAAGACAAAGTGAGGAGCACACCCAGCTTGCCGCCGCTTGAGCGGTCCAGTCCTTCAGGATGAAGTCTGTGCTTTGCACATCCAAGGCCAAGTTCGACTTTGCCGAGGATCTGGCTGACGTGGTAGAACTTGGGAGGCTGACAAGGATGCATGGCTGTTACATGTTGATCACACACTGCACATATGTAGCACAATACAACAAGCTAGCGGATCATCGGGAGGACGGGCACTTCTAGCACTGGCTCCTTGTGAACTCGTGATCCTGGAACTGCTTCAATATCCAACACCTGTAGCGAGTTCTTCATGAGCTCAGCTTTACAGCTCCGCAGATCCGCGACCTTCACTGCAGCGTTCATCAGCTCCTCACTGTAGCCAGCCATGCCTGTCTTTGCATTCACCTGGCACAGATCTCCAAGATCCCTAAGGAGTCGCGAATACCAAGTCGCGAAAGTTGACTGTTTAAATTCATTTGCGACAGTCAGCACAGAAGGACTTCAGCACATCCAGGTCCTGATGAGTGTCTAAGCTTGCTCGTCCTCTTCGGCCGGTAGATGAAATCGGTGTGGTTCGCAACATAGCAACAGTTAGCAGCTGCATAGCAACGCAAGAACAAGATGACCCCATTTATCGTTGAAGCTTCTTTTTACTGCCTTTTGCCGGAAAACTCTGGTCGAGCAGCCAAGGGTTCTAGCATTGAAGATAACCTGCTCCATCCGGATCCATCCGTGCTGTTGAGTGCTTTCTTTTCTTTTATGGCAGGAGTCCTTCCTGCTCAAACTCCTGAATCTGCCAAGCCCCTTGTCCGACCAAGCACCAAGCACATCTGGAGCGTGACGAGCAGGACAGATGGCAAGCAGCGTGAACGATCACGTGCCTTCTTGATCTTGTAGCCTACTTGTAGAGCAGTACGTGGGTTCGCATAGTTCCACCTGGAAAAAACAAATCTCCACCATGACAAACCAATCCCGAAACAGGGATCCGGGCCGAGCAGCCAGAGAATCTGGGTTGATCCCTCGAATCCTGACTGCAGGCACGAACTTGGGCCCAACATTCAGTCCAAGTAGTCTAAGCATCATTGGCAGCATCATGAATCATGCTCTTGGTGCTTGGCTCCAGTGTCTTCGTGTCCAGCGCGAGGCCTCAGAACAGAGAAGTCAAGCGCAGGGCCCCGGCACTCCGCAAAGTGCGCCTGGCGATGGAAAGCGAATCGAGCTTCAGACCCAGCTTCTCTCCGCCCGACCGGTCAAGGCCTAAAGACATCCAAAGACACCAAGCATCCGAGCTCCGAAACGAAGTCAGGGAGCCCATCTAAGCATCCTTGGCCCCTCACGAATTTTGAGGACTCGTGAAGCCTAGCCAACGATTTTGCAGTACCACGGGTGCCGTTGCCGCATGCACTGAGCTGTCCGGCCTCTTTTACAGCTTCCTCCTTCCGCAACTCTAGTTTCGGTTCCTCCCTATATCGGCTCGTGACACAAACGCCGGTCCTTGACTTTAAGCTGCAGCGTTGCATACGCCCAGTTGAACTCATCCATGCCCATCTTGCCAGTAAAGTCTTTGTCAAACTCGTCGAAAATCTCCTTTGGGCATTGCTTGTGCGCCGACGACCCACCTCAACAGAGCTCCAAGTCCTCCAGCACGTCATAGCTGGGAGCTGCATGACCCTGCATTTGCGAAATTTGACGCGCCAGTCCTTTGAACTCTGCCTGCGGTGCATTGCGCGTGCATCGCGGTTAGGGCTTACTTGAGGTCTGAAGTTCAGCTATGCTCGAATACTGCAGAGACCCCGGCATCACAAGCTGTTACCATGCCAACTAAAGCAAAGTCAGCAGGTCCGAGGAACCAAAGTCATCGTCTGGTCCCCATCCACGTCGAACTTCTCTCTTGGGGCCACCATTTGTGCCTGTGTCAGGCCCTTAGTGCGCTGAGCATCTTCGCAGCACGGAGATTCAAGCTTCGAATTGAACCGCAGCTACAGCAGCCACGATAGGCACTCTTTCTGCTGAGGAGGCTCGGCAGTGCCGCTGCTTGATGCTGCAGATTGGGCCTTGGACTTGACGGCAGCCACGCCTGCAAGCTCTCTCAGTTGTCAAGAATCTCTCAAGGTAAAACGCGTTGCTGGCATCTGCTGGCCTTTTGGAGGTGGCGGATGCCCCGCCTGTGCCCGGAAAAGCTTACCCTCACGTGGCACGGTATACCTAGAGCGAATACAACAAAAACTGATAGCTTCGTGCAATATGCCCGTGCTCTCCAGACGCCATGCCGAAGCCGTTGTAACTTTTGACAACACACGGCAGAGGAGACCTTCAGCTTCTTCATATCATCCACTTCTGATCGAGCTTGGTTTCCACGAAACTTTGCCTGCATTGCTCTCTGGAAAGAGAATTGAGAGTACGAGTAGCTCCTGCAACCAGCCTGGATCTTCACAGCGGCAGCTGCCTCCAAACCCGACATCAGAGAAGTCTAAAGAGACCCTCTAAAGAGTCACAACAACTTTCGGCAAATGTCGAGGCGATGTCGGAGCTCTCCTCCACTTCCTGCTGCAGCGTTGCATAGGCCCAATTGAACTCCTCCATGCTCATCTTGCCACTGCCATCCTCACACTTTTATGTACACAGCCTACAAGCGGTGAGTCTAGTTTCCTTAATTCTCACTGCTGCGCAAAGGTGTGCATTGCCGAGTGTCCTTGTCGAACTCCAGAAACACTTCCTGGCAGCAGATGAGGCTCTCACGGCGTGCTCTTTGTGGGCTAATAATGTAAACTGCAGTCTCCTTTAGACTCATGTCCGGAGGCAGCTTCTGCCCTTTGAGAGTGGCGATTTCACGTGCCTCCGTTTCCACCGACTCACAAAAAAATCGCAGAGGGGTGGTGTGAGAGAGCTGTCTTTAAGACTCCTTAGGTCGCCACCATTGCATCAAACTCTTCCTCAGTTTTCTTCGAGCTTGCAAAGGAAGGTGCGTTTTGACATGTTTTGACAGTACCCTATAAGAGTTGTACAAGCAGGAAAAGCTGTCATTCGGACAAGGCGCCACTGTCAGCATCTTGTCCTGGCAGCTCAGGGTCAAACCAGGGCAATGTTCCAAGACCTGTTAAGGATGTGGAGCTATGATGTCTTTTGCACGTCTGCGCGACCTGTGGGCTCATTCTAATCCAAGGTTCGTTATTTGTGTCGTACTTCTGCCTCAGTTGATTCATCTGCTCCTCCGACAATGCCTCGCTTTCCCAATCGGAAGGACATCAAAGAAGAGGCAAAGCTGAAGACCAGCAGAGCATGTGTTCTGTGATGGAGGGAGATATCCCATGATGCGGATTTGTTCGTCCAAGAAGCAGCCGTACCTGCAGTTTGTGCTTTTGCTTTGGCTCCTGGCGTGGGAAAGAAACTTGGCAATGTGTCGGAACTTCTTCGCTACGAAGGAAGTTTGTTGTGACGCTGTCTCCTGCTTTTTTGGGCGGCGGTGGTGGAGGCGGCGCCTTGGGTCGTCCTTTCAGAGCAGATCCCTCCTCTCAGCCACGGCAAATGAGTCACACGAAAGGCGACGTCATGCACCTTGGCAGAAGCTGGTCCTCAACTTGAGATCGCGCTTGGTTTCCACGAACCCTGGCCTTCGCAGCTTGCTGCAATTTCCTACGAAGGCCGGCAGTGGAATCTACAGATGAAACCCAGTGGCCTATCATCAAGCAAAACTAAAACTCGCCAACGTCTAAGCTTTCTCCACAAGAGCTTATTCTTCAAACGCCTGGATCTTTGTAGCAGCGGCTTCCTGGCAACAACTGTCTCAGAATCGCGGCAATCGCAGCATGACTCTGCTGGCGTGGCCTGTACCTTTCTCTGCAAAGTAGCATAGGCCCAGTTGAACTCCTGCATGCCTGAGCATGGGCATTCAACACGAAAACACTCAACGTCACCCTGTTTGTTCCTTCAGTTCGCCAAGCCACTCAGCTTGTTGCTATCATCTTTGTCGAACTCCTCGAAAATGGCCTCGGGAACCGAAAGCTGCACCGAATCTCACACCTGCTCACGAGCTCGAGTGCCCAGAAAGCAAGAAGACGACTTCTGGCCTTGAGGTCTTCTTCGCGTGGGGTCGGCGCTTTCTGTAGGGCAGCAAGCTCCTTGCACAGCCCAGAAAACTCCGCCTCGGGACATCTCCAGACTGTCGCAAGAGTACCAAGCTGTCAAAGCTTAGTTAGTCTTTGCAGCCGAGCTTCGTAGGCGAGGGACGAGTCTTTGTCTGTATCATATTTCCTGGAGGAGTTGCACTCGTCTTCGCACTCAGCAAAACCACTGCAAGTGAAAGACACTGCTTGCGGACCGTCCAGAGCAAAGACAATAAATACCCTTAGCTGAGGATCTTCCTCAATGCTTCCAGTTGCTGCTGGGTAAGAGCCTCATCCACTGCATCAGAGACTGGACAATACCACATTAGAGGAGCAAGCCTTGTCTGATTGGCCGGGCTACCGCTGTCCCAGAGTTCAATGCATCCGCCTCCGCCTTGATCTTAGCATCACCTCGGCTCAGAAATATCTAGTCCTCCTCTGTCCAACAGAAGTACCCTATGACCCGTTGAACTTCTCAAGCAGTGGAAACAAGAAAAGTAAAAGAAAAAACATCAATTGCACAAGGGCCGTTCGGTCTCGAATGCAGCCCAAGGCTCTGGTTGCCTTTCCTCCAGCCTCCGAATCAGCAATACATGCATGTCCTAGCACTCAATCCGTCGGCGGCTTGTATCAAACCTACCTCGCACCTGTCCCAAAACATATGCAGCACTAGATATTGCGGAACTGGAAGCCCATGAACAAGATGTGAAAAGCTGAAGCATTCACAGAGACCCGAATGAGCCCATACTCCCCTTTCACACTCTCGATCTCGCACAAACTTTGACTTCTGCTCTGCTTGTCTAGAGGCAGACTTTGGCTTTCCAGGTTTCGGAGGAGGCGGGGCAGCCTGGGCAAGACAAAGCTACTGGCATCTCCGCTTCCTGACAGAAATCACTTGGCGGAGGCTTGAGTCTTGGACAGGCTTCTTTGGTGGCATTCCAATAGACGTCTGCCAGGTTTCTGCCTCAGCAGCGGATCTTGATTCCGCCAGCATTCTTCGCCGTACAATCTTCAGTTCCTGAGACTTGCACCTTCCCTCAGGGCTTCCCAGGCCATCATAAACATCGCACCTAGGCCATTCGCGGCTATGCAGTCGCTGCTTGAAGCATCTTGAAGCAGAGACTTGAGGGAGTCAGACAGATGTCAGAGCACTTCCCCAATAATCTGCACAGCTATCCAGCAGTGTGAACTGCCAGAAGCAGTGGGCGAATATGCTGCACCACCCCATCCGTTGACAAGAATGATAGCGATGGAGCGCGTCTCTGAAGCCTGAGCATCCGGCTAGTCTGCCCTCAATGATGGACCTGAGATCCTGCCCGCAACTTGTGCAGGCAGTGTGTCAGGCAACACCATGGCTTGCTATGAGGAGCAACGGCAGCTTCGCAAGGAGAAGGCATGGCTTGCAGTGCTGGATGAACAAGCGCAGCTCGACAAACCGATGCTCACAAGGGACTTGAAAAGAGCAAGCGTTGGACCTCTCCGGCTTCGACACTACAATGTTCATGTACCAAGCACATGGCTTTGCCAAAGCCTGGTGTTTCTGCTCCCGGATGCAGACAGCCAGAGTAGCACGGCATCACACGGTTGTTTGTTTCTGAAGATAGACAGGCGACCGGGAATCAGACGAATCAGGAGTGAAACGCTGTCAAGCGCTTGCGTGCATGGGCTGCGACCTTGCCAAGGACGGCAGGCTCGACACGGCTGCTGGTGCTTCAAGGACAATGACTGCAGCGGCTGGAGAGCTGAGCCACGACTGGGAGCGTGTCATCATGGAAACCTCAGAATGCATCAAGCAGCTGAGACACAAGGAAAAGACCCGCACCTCAGGTTCGCACATAGTCGCGGTTTCGGGCTGGGCTTGCTTCGTTCGACCGCGCCATCCATGCATTCGTGTTCTCCTGACACAAAGCTTTCAGCATCAAGCAGGCCAGGAGAAGTTTGCCTATCCTCTCATTTAAGCACAACAACTCAACGTTCGAAGGATTTGACGAGGCATGGAAGATATGAAATTGTCGTGCTCCCCGCGGCCAGCGATAAGCATCTCGATTTTGCCCGTTGAACACAGGCAGTTACGTACCATCTGGCGAACCATTTGAGCTTCGTGGTTCCGCATGCTCGCATGAGCAAGCAAGGGAGAAACCGGTAGCACACATTTCGCAAAGGTTTCCAAAGGCGTGCCTTGGGTGCCCGGCCGTCTGCCCCCCTCCTTCGGTGTGTAGAATCTGCTGAGCAACATCCAGGAATAGAGTCAAGTCCGAGACATAGGCTACTGTACAAAGTTAGTGGAAGCACTAGAAAGCTGCCTGTGTGCCATCTCCTCTTGACAGAGACCATGACATCTTCTACAGATTCTGTGATCAGCAGAGAACACGTGTGATGCTTTCTGCTGCGCGTAACGACTCCCCGTCTCCATGGACTCATGGACCCGGGTATTCGCCAGCCCTGCACCCGCAGCCCTGTCAGCAGCAAAGTAGCACATATTAAGAGGATGTTCTCTGACTCTAGTTTGTCGCACAAATTCCACTCCTGCCGACGGCAGTTGCCGCGAGACCCTTGCCCTCGACTGTCCGTGCGCAGCCGCCCACGTGCAGCCTGAAAGACCCTAACCTCCAGCTTTGGGCAGGATCACCCGCAATAAAAGCAGCAGACCAAGTACAGAATCACAGCAATGGCAAATGTTTGTCTCTGTGCGTGCCGTGCGTGCATACCTGCAGGCGCTGCGGGCGCCTCCAGGAGTGCGCGACCGCGCAAGTGGGTGGGAGGGTGGGTGTGCGTGGGTGGGCGGGCGGGTGGTTGCCGGGGCGCGCGTGCATGTGTCTTATTTTTCGGCTTGCAAGGAGGCAGGACCATCATCGACTGGCAAGAAAGTCGCGCCTTGAAGGCGTGCTTGGGGCTATCCCGCGGGAGCAGCTCTGGCCTAGATTTGGGCATGCATGCTGCATCAAGGATGGTTTAGCCAAACCAGGTGTTCAGTAGCACGACTGCATTGTGGTCGCTTGACAGGAACCGCTCGCGTTTATTATCATACTTTTAACCAGCTGTCATAGCCTGAACAACCCGAGCACCAACCGCGGTGAGTACGCACAAAGGGCGCTGCAGCTTGCCAGGCTTCCGCATGGAATTCCTGAAATGTGGCACGGCCACGGTACACGGAGAAATTATGAATCGCAGTCGTTTCCGCCAATGTCAGTCGAGGACCAGGCCAATGAGTCTGGTTCCGGAGGCCAAGCAGATGTGGATCCTGGAGCTTTCCCACGCCTCGATTTCACCAAGCCGCATTGCCGTTGCTCAGGCTGACATCCGACATACCAGTGACATACCACAATATGCCGCAATGACAGTTAAGCGGCTGCTCTCTGTTCCCAGCGCAGGGCTGAAATTGCATGGCACCTCACGCGCAGAGTGCGCGATTACACGAGGATCCATAGGGCGAGCCAGCTGTCGGCCTCCTTGGGACGTGGAGGGACGGCATCCCTGGGCAGCGCGGTCGCAGACGTCCCCAAGAGATGCCGAGAAAAGGAGGCTTCCGAATCCCGCTCGGGCTCAGGCTCGGCGAAACGTTCGCCCTTCAGCCGTGCAGCCTCCTTCATCCTACCAGCAGGGTGCGGGGGCAGGGTGCGCGGCGGAGCGCCGACGAATTTCCTTTGCTGTGCTTTGCATGCTGGGTGGGGGACAATTGGTTTCGAGTCTTCTGACGGACTTTCTGGATCTGCCCCTGGCAATCGCAGATAATCAGATTTATGCATGGACGATGCGAGCTGTTCCTGGTAGTACTCGTCTGGCTCAGGTCCTGCATCTGCTTGAGAGTCTAGTTTGGTCTGTTTCTAGTTGCCGTACTGGCTCGGTGTGCCAAGCTGACAATTGGAAGCCTGGCCTTGCAACTTCGGGCAGTATTGCCCTATTGGCGATGGATTCGTGATGGTTGCAATACGAATGTAGTCCGCCTCGGCAAATTTTGATGGACTCGAGTGAGGGACTTGAGAGAGTAAAGACCGTGGGTACCGGGATATTCAACCATCACCAGCAACACACCTGCTGACACGCCTCAGGCACCCACACGGTCCGATAAATCCTGTGCATGCACGGAGCTTGCAGGTGGCTGTACGTATTTGCTACTTCTGCTTTGCCGTACGGAAAACTCTAACCGCTCTGTCAGTCTGCTCGGTGTCTAAGATGATGTTGTTGCTGAAGTTTAGCCTCGTTGGCCGACGAGTAGCTTTGCGTGACATGGGACTATTCTCAAGATCTGAACTCCAGATCCTTCTAGGATATCTAGGTCACTACAGTCACGACAATGCTCTGCATTGGCGTTGTACCTGCACTGGTGCACTTCCGGATCTCGATTGACGCTAGGTGCCAAGCTCAGCAAGCACAAAAAAACTAAGGTACTGTGAATCCCAATCTTTGGGGCATGTCAGGCTCGGAGAGCTACAGTAGCAGCTAGCAGCACGCAAGTGATCCCGGTGCGTCCTTCGTCTTGTACCGAGCCCAGAAGGCCCGCTCCATCTGGTAATGGTTACTTGGCAGCAGTATGGTTCGAATCTAAGAGAATCACGGTTTCCAAAAAGCACTGAAAGCTGGGACACACGCTCTCGCATTGTCTTCCTCATCTCCTCTCTCAGCACATCCTTGTCAAGACCCTTCATGCACCGATCAGCATGCAGTAGCTTGACTCTTCCAGACTAACGCGGAAGCACGTTGTCTCGCTTGAGCAGGGCGATTTGCTGACGAACCTCTTGAAGGTTGGCCTGCAGTGAACTTGCAGCTCGAAGGGCACGACACCCCCAGAAATCTTCTGGCCTCATGTTCGCCAGTAGAAGGATAAGTTGGAGCAAAGTAGCCCGCCGCCATTGGGGCGCAAGCTTACAACCGAGTTGGCACAGTGCCGCACTGTCTGTATAAGAGGTCTGGAAGCTGGGAGACGTTCTCAACCTGCCTGTGGCAGCGCATTGCTTGATTTCATGAACATACTCATGATGAACTACCGCCTGAGCCTTGGAGGTTGAAGGAGAACGGAGGAGACATGCAAGCAAAATGCAATGGTGCACGCCCACCGGGACTGCAGAGCACTAAACCAACTTTGTTCGCAAGATTGCAGGAATCTGCAGAAAATTAGTTGCATAAATACCTGGTCTTTGTGCAGGTACTGCCGGTCTTAAACAGTTCATGTAAAGCGGGCCTGCTCGCTGCAAGCTTGCTGCAAGTGCCAACCTCAAAACGCGTTACTGCGCAAGGTCTGGAAAAGTCGGTGAGACACTGCCAATACCACCACTCTCATGCTCCTTTGACACTGAAGTCACTCGTGTGGTCGCTCTTGACGTACCTGCATGATCATCGAATGGTTCGGGTTGGATGCGGAACAGCACGCAAGGGCACTCCATCATAAGCTTCATGACCTCATTTTCTTTCAAAAGCTCTTCTGGCACCGGCACCTGCAGGGCTAAGCACATCATCCCTTGTCTGCAGCCTCAGCCCACTCTCGAATCCCAGCACATGAGCCGTGGAAGTTCACTCGATTCGCATGGACACGCCTGTTTGGTAAACCACTTGAAGAGGTCTGGATTCTCCAGTTCCAAGACCTGCAACATGGGAGGCACACGACTACCCTGCTTGCTCTGTCCAGTCCCTGGGCCTCCTCGAGCAAATCCAGCTTCTCGCTGTCAAAGTCTGCAATGTGCCTGGCTCGTTGGTTCTGCATCGACTAATTAGACCCCAACTCAAATTAGGCTTGCGCATGCTTGCGAATGCACGTTGCATGATCCTGTGATCCACCCTGAGACTCAAAGCAGGGTGCAACAAAGATGTGTCGGAGTGGCTTCTCCACAAAGGTTCCCATGAGCACATCCAGCTCCAACCATCCCCGGCTCTTGGCACGCCACGTGAGCCTGCCAACTACGAGCAATGCAGGATGTGTTGCATCTGGAAGACTTCGTTCGT